TTATATTATTAATTGATAACTTATAAACTCTAAATTATATTTCATAAACCTTCACTAATATTTATATTTGAGCTTTCACTAGTATTTGTATTAGAGCCTTCACCAGTATTTGTATTAGAGCCTTCAACAATATTTGTATTGGAGCCTTTAGCAATATTTGAACCTGAATTTTTATTAGAGTTTTCAAACTCATCTTGCATATATATATGATTACGTGAGTTTGTATGTTGACCAAGTCTATCATAATCAAAAATTAAGCTATTTTCTGTGCCATCTCGTAAGTTAGATATACCACAATACTTAAAAGCTTTTTGTATAAGGTTAGGATCAATATTATTCCATGCCTGAAGTATCCATTGAGCGACCAAATTATATGCGGGGCGTTGAATACAATCTGTCTTAGTATAAGTTAAAATACCATTATCTAGCCAATCATTATAATAATGCTGCATCTAAAATAAAATTTATTAAATTATTTATTTAAATATAAGTTTTGCCAAATTAAAACCTGAAACTAAATATATTGATATTTAGTTCCAAGTTTTAATTTGGCATAACTTATATAATAATAATAAATAAATAAATTTATTGAAGTACCTTTGCCTTAAACGATTTATTTATAGCCACATCTAACAGTTGTAATTTTGAAGTACAACCTCCTGGAATTACAGCTAAATTAGTATTTTTTTCAAAAAATCGATGTTTAACAGTATCTTCTATATGTCCTTTAAATGAATCTAAAACTAAAAGTGAGCGTAGATCTGTCCTTCCTTTATAATTCCATATATTCTCTATCCACCATAGCATTTCATTTGAATTCATCTATCCACTAGGATTTACATGAATAATTATACCTGCAGGAAATGTTTGCCTTGAAACATTCATAAGTTTAAAAATAATAACAGGTGGAAGTTTAGTTCCATCTGCCATACAAGCAAGCACAACAGTAAAATTTGATTTTTTATAACCAAAGGTCCTTAATGAAACCGTATTTATATCACAATCATCAATTGTTATATTGGTGGGAAGATCGAATGACATAGGAACTTCATCTATATTACTTATTAAGGCAAGTAAATAATCAAATTAAATTCTACGATATACAATCAAACTTAAAAATTCCTGTAGTGCAGGTTGTAAATCTTCTGGAAGTTTTTGGGCTACAGTTGTTCTACATCTATTACTTAATTTGTGACGAGTCATAAAGCCATCAACCTATTTATCTAAAAATTTGGCTTCAGAAATATTAGGATAAAATATAGCATAGGAAGATCTTTTTGATAATGCTTTTGCTTTAAGTTAAACCATTGATCATGTTACAGGTTTAAGTGCACTTTGCAAATCTTTTACTCAACTATAAATTTCATTTTCTAATTCAGGATACTTTGGTGGTCTTCCGTTATTTAACTTTCTAATATGAGGTGAAACACACATTAAATTTTCTTTTTTACTTCACCAATCTCTAACTTGCTTTGGTTTTATATTGAAATATGTAGCAGTTGCATGAGCACTATTACTAGAGTGCTTTTCAAGAAATGTAATAATTGCAAGTTTTTCACAAAAATTCCACTGTCACCTTTTTTTTGAGTAATTTGAGCCTAGCCACAATTCTTATTTCCACATACCATAGTATAAAGAAATATAGTAAATAAAAAAAGAAAAAATCTTATTTAAATATACTGTTATCTAGTGGTATCATATTCTTTATTTTTTTAAAAGTAAACTTTACATATCGCAGTATAGTAATATCAAACTATATTAACTAATTAATGTACCATCATTGTAAAGTACCTCTGCTACAAAGTACCCCTCTGTAATTAGTACTCAGGCAGGTACTATTCAATAAAATCAGTGGTTGAAAGAATAGTACCCTGGGTATTATAGTTAGTAGTGTACAGTAGTAGAATAAGATAAATATGAAATCTAAAGTGTTTAAATAAAAAACCAATAAGTGAGTTTAGATATAGTAACTAATATAAATCTTTCAAATAAACTACTTAAATTAAACAATAACTAAAGTTGTATAAGTGACTAATTGTACATTTTTTTTATAGTTAACCTTGTAGTTAATAAACAACAGCTGTTAGTTAAAATATAATATCAATAAAATTCTAAGTTATAAATATATATTTTAATATTAAAAAAAAATAAAATAAAAAGTTATACTATATAATTTTCTTTTTTTATATAGATTAAAATTTTTATTTTTAGATTACAATTTTTTTATTCAAGTTTGTAAGACACAGATGCCTCTAGAAACTTCTTTATATTGGAGATTACAACTAGTTACATATGTGCTTTTAGTGTTTAATTTAAATAGTTTGTCTATACATTATTATCAAGTTTTATACTAGATGCTACACCTGCAAGCCAACTATAAGTTTTGCCTTTCTGCATATACAATCTTCTTGTATCATAAAAATATCTTAAAGTTCTATTTATTTAAGTTCTCAATGCTTATTAGTATCTTTAGAACTACTTTATTCTTAACAAAAGACTTACTAGAGTTTGCTATGTTCTACATACAATTGATCTAGTTTTATGCAATATGCTATAGTTATCTAATACTTGCAATTATAGAGGTTATCTGTTTAACTGCTATGTTATATTATTTTTACTTTTGTAAAGTTCACTAAAACCTCAATATTTATCTTTTTAACATTTTCTTTATTATTTCCTACTAGCTATAACTTAGAACTAACAGACTTCTTAGATTTATAATTCAAATAGCCTAGTATAATATATCTTGGTATTTTTTTTCTTTAATAATTCTGACAGCCTAGTTGGTAATATGCTCCTCTAATATTTTATTATCTGGTTTATCTATCTATTTCTATAAAAATGTTTTATAGGCTTTAACAAATTTGATAATATCATTAAAAGTTCATATTATCTTTTTACTTAGAAATTTTCAAGTAGTTTTTAGCTTCTTAGTTTCTTAGTCTTATATGCCTAATAGTATTATTATAAGTTTATACTAAAGTCTTATACAACATTGATTAAAACATTTTTCTGTGTATATGTAATATTATATTTTATATAGATGCTCTAAGCTTTTAATGACAGATAGGATTCAATTTAGTATACCTTGATTATAGGCACATAATGCCAACTAATTAACAAAAGACAATTATAACAGATTAATTTTCAAATTTTTTTATAAGTAAAATTTGAACCTTAGACTTGTTACTTAAAGAATAACAACCTAATCACTATACTAGGATCACTATTCTTACTATATAATTTTTTAATATAATTATTTTTGTATTTTAAATAAAAAAAATAATTTTAATATTAATTTAAAAAATTAATTTTAAAATTTTGTCAATTTACATTTCTTTTTGCAATACTAAGATTATATATATCTTATTTTAAGATAGTTAAATTTAATTCTTTGTTTTAATTTTTAAACTAATCTGAAATTAATTAAATTTTATTTCTTAAACCATATCCTAGACAAATTTGTCTGAAAAATTAAATTGTATTTAGTATTTTTTAAATAAAATAATAATTTATTAATAATATGAAGTATACTTTGCTTATAAAAAATATTTTTAAACCTATATTTTATAAACTTTATTATAAAACTTTTTTAAAATATTAATAAACTTTTATATATTAAAATTTTAAAGAGAATGTGCAACTTAGTAAAGTGGATAAGTTGTCATACCTTCAAGTGGTAGGTTGTGAGTTCAAAACCTATCAATAGTGAAATTTGAATTATCATTTATGCAATATATAGGTGTTATTATAGCAACAACATTCTGTCGATCAGTTGAAATAGAATATTCATAACTATGATTGCACTAGCATGACTGACAGGTCTGAGGCATCTGTGTAACCTTGGTTATACAAAGAAATACAAACCAATACTGGGTAGTGCAAAACTAAAATAAGCTCTTAAATTATGTAAATTTGTAGAACAGAAAAGCTGAAGCTTACTTGGAAATTCTAAGCAGAGAGATAAAACAGATTTTTGATAATACTGCTATAAAGACTAGACCTAGAAAATAGATACCAATATGAAGAAATTAGGCAGGCAAGAACCTCAGATAAGGGATATCACTAACCAGGCTGCCAGATTTTAGACCAAAGAAAAAGAATATTAGGCCAGCTTTAATATACCAAGAACAAATTACAGTTTTTCTAAGCTATCTGAATTAGGAATCTAAAATCAAGACAAAAGTATACTAAAAGTACTAGAGATATGCTATGAAGTCAGTACTAGGATCTAAATAAACTCTGTAAGGATAGCCCTTGTTAGTGTTTTAAAAATGAGTAGATAGTTAACAACAGTAAGCTTTCTGCACCTTACTGGCAAATAATATATTCTGAAATATATAATAACTTGAAAACTAGTACAAAAAGGGTAGATATTATACTGCTTAGATAGTATATCTGGCTAGGTATATACAAAAGGTTAGTTAAAGTTACATTATAACAGAGCAGATGATCAGAGAGTTTAAATGAATAATCTCTTAGTAGATTATAGATATAGCATCTAGTGTAGAACCTTAGAGTAAACTACTTAAATAGGTAACTAAATGTTATATAAGTAACTAGTTGTATTTTTATTTCTGTAAAAATAGTTATAATAACTAACCCAAAATAAGTCAATAAAGTATCATCACAAAGTATGACCTTTAACAAAAAAAAAAAAAAAGAATTTAAAAATTATATTTAAAAATTTTTACTATTAAAAATTTTTTAAAATTTTTTAAAATTTCATATGTTTTTGAAACTAAAAAAACTTTTTATACTTTGTACAAGTCTAAATTTTTATAAGTAAATTGTAAAAGTGATACTAATAAAAATTATTATACTTAGAGGTATAACAACCTAGTGAAGTGGTCAGGTTGTCAACTCTTCAAGTGATAGGTTGGATATTCAAATCCCATCGACAGTGAAAATTTAAATAATTACCTATGTAATATTCGTATTATAGCAACTGTTACTAATAATTGGGTTAGGATACCTGTAATGGCAGTCACACCAGCATGACTGGCAGGTCATGGGGCATCTGTGTAAGTATGGTGTTACACGGAAAAATGCAAACTGACAAATCAGGCAGTGCAAACACTAAATAAGTTCTTGTGGCCATGTAAATCTGTTGAAATTGAGTAACAAGAAGTCTATTTGGGAAGACCTGAGTAGAAAAGTAGTTGGATTTTCAACAGCTCTACTGTAAAGGCTAGTCTAGGAAAACAGATATCAAGGTCATAGTACCTAGTCATAGTAGCTAAACAGGCAAGAACTTTCAGGTTAAGAGTTTTGAGAATACTATCAATCAGGCTGCTAAAATGAACTGAAGGAAAAGGATATTAGGCTGACCTGATATATTGATGGACTGGTCATAGTTTTATATGGGCTATCTGGATTGAGAGTTTGGTAAAAAGGCAGGTTAAAAGGCAGGAGTATACTAAAGTACTAGGGTTATACTATGAAGTAGATGCTGAGGTATAAGAGAACTCTACAAAAGCATAGCAGTTTAATGGTCAGCCCTGACTACAAGTGTTGGTTCTGCCATAGCAATACCTAGATCAGCTGTAAAAATAGGTACAAAAGGCTCTTGAAGGTTTACCTCAAGAATAAATTAGTTCTAAGGTTAAGACAATAATCTGGGCATCTGAGTATGACTTAGTGAGTTAACACAGATTACAGATTTAAAGAGTTTAAAGTAGAACACCCAAGCAGGAGTATTAGGTATAGCAATTGGTAGAGAACCTTCGAGCAAACTCTTTAAATAGGTAATATAGAAAAGTTACATATATAGCTAATTGTACTCTCTCCTATAGTAGTTTATTGAACAACAATACTAATAAGTGATTAATAAAAGTCAAAAGACTAAAGAGGTTATCTTAATACCAAAAAAAAAATTTATTATACTTTATATAAACTAAAATATTGTATTAAGAACTATAAACTTAAAATTAATATTTAAAAAATTTATTAAAAATTTGTAAATAATTTTTTTAATTAAAAATTTTTTCTGAATTTGTTTATTTTTAGCTTATAAATAACATATAATTTTTTCTTATAATATAAAATTAAATATTACTATAAAATAATTCTTATTTTTAAATATTATCAAATAAAATTTTATTTAAATATTTTAAAAATTAAAAAATGTAGATCATAAACATATTTTTCATAATTTTTCAGGCAAATTTGTCTGGAAAAGCTTACAGATTAAGGAATAATTTTAATTAGTTAAAAATAACAAGTAACTATCAAATAATCTTGTAATATATTTATTTTATATAGTTTTGTATAATTATTTTTAATACAACTTTCTCTTGTAAATCTTTTGACTGAAAACTGTTAAGAAGCAAAACACAGAGAAACTACAAAACCTACTAAAAAACAACACTTAGACTCTTAATAAAAAAGAAAGAACAGCAAAAGTTACATCTAGCTAGAAAACAAAAACATAA